CACTCTGACATGTCCACATTGGCGTGTCCATGCTGATGTGCCCACATTGGTGCGTTCGTGCTGGCATGCATGGCACCAATACTTTGTCAGACTCTGTGCTCTAAGGAAAGCAGGGCCCATCCTGGGCTTCCCATTGCTTCCTCTCCTCTGTCAGCTGGTGGAGACGGGCCAGTGACCAGGCCTGGGTGTTCACAGTGAGGACATACAGAAAGATGTGCCATCTGCACGGGGCCACCGAAGAGACACTGTGCACACCCCTCTGGCCTTCACTGTGTCCCCTCACTGCTCATCCACGCTCTCCACCCCCCACCGAGAGGACAGTGGACGAGGCGGCGAGAGGGAAGGGCAGGCCCTCCGGGCCACAGCCCACATGGTCCGTCTGAAGCCTGGCACTGGCTCACGGACTCTCCAGGCAGCTGAGTTGGAAATGGTAGCCGTTCCTCCCACAACGCGGTTTGAACAAGAGCTGCCGCACTTCTGTCTGTCTGTCTCTCCATCTCTCTGTTTCTGTAATCACAAAGCTACAGACACAGTGAATAGTAACGCTGCTCAGATTCAGCATCTTCTCTGAGGATGTTACAAACAAGGCCCTTCTTTTTGTCCAGAGGCCCCTCTGCCCTGGCGGGTGAGGCTTGGCCTCCATCCTCAGACATGCCAGGACAGGACGATCCGAGGGCCTGTCTGCCAGACCTCAGCGTTTGTAAGCCCCGCAGAAGCTCTCAAGAGGGGAGAGCTGAGGCCGTGAGAAGGGCGCCTCCTGCTGATGGGGAAGCTCATCCCAGATGAGGAAGAAGAGGGTCCACGGCGGCAGCAGCTGAGCCAGTTCCTACCCAGACACGTAACAGAACCAATGGAGAGCTGTTGACAGTGTGCTCCGTGAGGGGCCTCCACGGGGACAAGGTGCACAGTCTCCCCAATAGACTCAACCCTGGAAATCCAGGGGCCGTGGCTGCGAGCCAGCTGTGGGCTTTGTCATAACAACACGCAGCCCCTTAAGATGGGATCGTGCAGAGGCAAGTTCAAGAAATGAAATGGCCACAGTAAATGACTGTTTCCGGAATATTGAGAACATTTTGTTTTTGTTTTGTGGAAGGATTTGCTTTGTTTAACATTAACAAAAAAATTCTTTTCTTGAGGAAAACAGGAGCTTGGGATCTGACCCTTGCAAGTGCGCCTGCATTACGCCGTCTCTGCCCACCACCCACCTCGTGTCGCAGTGTGCTGGCACCTGTGGGCTCGAGTCCTCCCCGGTCGGGACGCCTCCATGGCTTTTCTGTGTGTCTAACAGTGCTATAGAGACTGTTTTCTTTTCTCCAAACAATAGGAAACCTTCATTTCTGGGGTGGTGGGGGAGGAACCTTTTCCTTCACATTTCACTTATCCTGGTTCTCAGCTCCAAATGAAGAAGCCACATTATTTGTGGGAGCCCCTCCCTGGCCGCTAGCCTGGGCAGTTGCTGGGCTCCTGCCGCCCTGCCCCTCGCCTTGCGACCAGCCTGTCTGCGTCTCAGCTCACAGCTGGTCGGTCACACACCTGGACCCAGATGGCCCGGGGCCGTCCCCTACTCTTCACACAGCGTCACTGAACTGTGGTTTAACAACAAACTAACCAAAGGACCCCAGGTCTGCCAGCACCTGGCAGGCACCCTGATAAACCACAAGTGGCCTCGGCAAGGCAGAGAGCCCAGGCTCAGAGGGTCTCAGGACAGGAGGCCCCTGCTGGCCACTTCCTCAACTTCCTTTGCTCCCCATTTCTTCCAGACACAGACCTTCCCGTGACTTGCCCCACCTGGAAGCTGACCACTTTGTTAGAGAGGGTGTGAGAGAGTGACTGGCTCACACCCCACGCAGGGTGCAGACAGCACAGCCCTGACCACTCTCAGTGCACCCACACTTTCCGTTCACACTCTCCTCCCGCAGCTCTAGGACTCATGTGCAGGAGGTAGTCAAGGTGCCCTTGCTCGTCCTGAGGCCTGGACGAGTGGCTGCGGGCTAGCAGCTGGCCTGGGGCTGCAGAAGGCCAGAGGGTGTCCTCACATAGTGTTCCGTGCCCCGAGAGCTTGTCCGCTCTGCGGTTCAGTGGTGCCAGTCACAGATCAAGCAGCTGGAGTCACACCACAAAATAAGAATGTGTCGCCCTAAACTCCCTGCCAACCCCCACGCTGGCTGCCAGATCTGGTCTCCCAAGGACGTCACATGGGTGAAGTGGTGCCGGTGGCCCCTTGTCAGGCGTCGTTCGGAAGGACCTGGCCCTCTCCTGCTCCTTAATGCTGAGCGGTGACCCCCAGCACGTAGGCACCCCGTGGTCTACCTGATGATGGATGCTGGAGTCGGTGGCAGGTTTTCATACACACTCTCTCATATGCAGGGTTTTGCATGAATGTAATTTTTCATTTCAGATTTAAAGTTCTTTCCTCTCAAAATGCTGATGACCACTTGTCATGATAAAAACAGTCCCCAGAAGTATGTCTATTTTTTTCCTTGGCAGCTGGGTCCTGTGAGTGCGGGGGTAACGTGGTGAGGACTGTACCCGGCTGCCTTCCCCCAGCAGCATGCAGGTGCCCTGGGTTCCAGGTCCTTGAACAGGTTTGCAGGCTTTCTCTCGGCTCCGAGTGTGGGTGGAACCCCCGCCCTGTGCGGGGTACAGGTTGTCGTCTCCCTGGCAACTCAGGATGTCACGTACCGCTGGGGGGGCATCGCTCGTTGTCTCCCTCTGTCCTCTTTTGTGAAGCGTCTCTGTTGGAGAGTCTTCACTCTTTCCCGACCGTTCCTTTGGTCTCACGCTTGCCTTCTGAGGGCCTTGGCAGTATTCTGCTCTTAAGGCTGCTCTGTGGTTTGTCCCTGGCAGCAGCCTGTCTTTTCATTCGTGCATTGAAACGAGCCTGTTATTTGCAGGCAATTTTTTGGACATTTTTATTAAGTCCAATTTAGCTTATTTTTTACTGAGTAATGTTTTGTGTCATGGCTGAGAACTTATTGTATATTTTCTTCTAAGAGTTTCCTGCATTTCCCTTGTCTGTAGGGGTAGATAGCTTATTTTGAGTTTTATGTAGGATGTTAATTTGAGTTGGTGGTTTTTTAGTTGAGTTTTGTTTTCATGTTTCTGTACAGAGTGCCTGTTTTCCCCACAGCATTTGTTTAGAAGATCAGCTTTTCTTTACCAAATTGCCTGTGTACCTTTATAAACACCAGTGGGTCTTGCTGGTGGCTGTTTCTGGCCTCTGTTCTCTTCAGTGAGTCTGTGTCTGCCTCCTCTCACTGGACACAATGTCTTCGTGTCAAAACTGTGGCTCCTCCAAACATTTTGGCAATTTTTATTCCTTTGCATTTTCAACAAATTCCAGGGTCTATTTGTCTGTAAAAATCACTCTGGTGTTTTGACTTAACTCCTTCCCTCTGCAAGTCCCCTCTGAGGACACTTACGCCCGCTGTCCACGGACGGCGCGTCCCTGCTATGGCCCTACACCGCTGTGTGCGGACGGCGCGTCCCTGCTATGTCCCTTACACCACTGTGCGTGGACGGCGCGTCCCTGCTATGGCCCTACACCGCTGTGTGTGTGGACCGTCCCGTCCCTGCTATGTCCCTTACACCACTGTGCGTGGACGGCGCGTCCCTGAGGCAGGAAGTCTTCACTGCATGAGCCTCGTTGCCTCCTCTAAGCCCCGGGTCTCACAGCAGCATTTTTTAGTTTGAGGATGAAGCTTCTTGCACATATCATGCTGTATACCCCGCGTACCTTGCTTCTTTGGTGTTGTCACAAATGATAGCACCCTTAAAATGTGGGGTTGGCCTGTTCCTTGCTAGAGGAATATAAATGGTTGAAGAACCTTGTAATCCCAACATGACTGTGGCGTTATAACTCTTACTGAAGCCCGGCTGTAACTGTTCAACATCAGAAGTACCGAGACAACAATGATTTAAAGCCCAACTGCAGGTCCTCGCTCAGTACCTCTTCAGGACAGACAGGCCCAAACTTCGGGGTAAGCCATGAAATCTATTGTGTTTACACGAGCTCCGTGCTAGGATCCCCACTAAGGACTCCAAATCTGTCCACATGTCAGCCAAAGGAGTGGGTGTCAGAGCAGGGCTGGGCTCCTGGGGGTCCAGGGGCTGAGACGTCAGGAGAGGATGGCCAGGCCTCTCCTGTGAGGCATCTTGGGGTGGACCCAAACCTCTGGCCTCTCAGTCACCAGCTGAACACCTCACCGGGACAGCAGATGCTCAGGAAACATAGCCGGTCCTGGAGGATGTAGCCTGGAGTCGCTGCAGGTGTGAGACGGCAGCTGGATGTCCATTTTCCACTGGCCCATGAGTCCTCAAGGGGTTGCACAAAGACACACACAGGCACAACGACAAACGCTTGGCAGTGGGGCCAGGATGACTTGGGCCTCTGCTGGCCGATCCCTGGGTCACCTGATGGCCACCCAGCCATGTGTGTCCCTGAGAAAAAGCAGAAACAGGCAGTACCCCCACCTTGTGCACCAGGACACCTACATGCACTAGCAGTGTTTACTGATCCAGAAAACTCTGCTTCTGTGACCTCTGGCCTGGCCCAGGTCACCCCTCTCCTGCAGCTGGCCCCCATTCATGGTGGGAATACCTGGGGAGGCCGCATGCCATTGCAGACACCAGGCTAACGAGGGTCCCAGCGCACAGGGAAGTTAGGCTGTCACCAGGGAGCAGGCAGGAGCACAGGGGGTTCCTTGGGATGGTGGAAATGAGCACAGGGCGCCCCACACGCAGTGCGCACGCAGTGTGGAGATGGTGTGGGCGGACTCGTGGACCCTGGCCGGCCACAAACATTCAATTTGTAAAAACAACAAAAAGCAAAATCTGATGAGCAGTGACGTGACACTCGGCCAGCTCGTCGTGGGCGCAACGAGAGGCCTGGCCGGCAGTCCACACGAGCTTCATGTGCCCAGAAGCTCCGAGCTGGCGTCGCCTTCCAAACTAGGTGAGGACACAGTGCACCCAGTGACGTGAGCACCATTCTGTTTCAGGACACACACCACGCGGCCAGGACTGGCCACTACGGCGCTCTGCCTCAGAAGTCCCAGCATGGCCGGTCCCAGGATGAGAACCCCGTCGTCCACTTTTTCAAGAACATCGTGAGTGTCTTCCGATGGCTGCAGGGACAGCTCTGAGCACAGGCTAGGTGGGCGGCAGTGTGTGGACAAGAGAAGTCCAGGGACAGCCCCTGCCCTTCCCCAGGGAAAATGTTCAGCACCAGGCCTGGGACCCACCTGCCCACCTCAGGCCTTCCAGACCACATGTGAGTCCACAGGGGCTGCACCAGTGGTTGGGGTGCGCCAGAGGCGGGGCAGCGCATGCCAGTTCTCCAGCCACCCCTAGAAGTCTGTCCCTGTAGAGATAAGGAGCGTGGAAACCCTACAGAGACGTCCTGAGCTGGTCCGTGGTGGCCGACATACTGGCCTGGTCTGTGGAGCCTCCAAGGGGGTCCATGTGGCACAGCTGGGCTTGGGTCTAGGTGCTCAGGAGTCCCTGGCTGACACTTGGGTGCAGAGGGGCCCCAGCAAAGAACTAGAGACACCTCAGAACCAGGTAGCCCTTACTTATGAGGAGTCAGGGATCGCACCCTCACTTCTGAGATGCAGACCCTGGCACACAGCTGGTAAGGAAGGGACAGGTGACCCAAATGACATGGAGAGAAGGCTGAGCTGCCCCACAGGATCCCCCACTGCCCTCTCTGCTCATCACACTGTCTGTCCCTCCAGGTGACGCCTCGTACACCACCTCCTTCACAAGGCAAGGTAAGACGGGTTCTGGTCGGTCATCAATTCTACCCCGAAGTCCCTCCACGTACCAGAGGGGGAGACAACTATGAGTCTACCCCAAAATGTCCTGTCATCTGGGCCTCAAGTAATGCAATGCTGACCCTTCACCTGGGCACGGTGCTGACCAGCCTGCACCTGTCCCTTCACCTGGGCAGTGCTGACCAGAATCCATGCCTGTCCCTTCACCTGGGCGCAATGCTGATCAGCCCGCACCTGTCCTCTCCTCTAAGCAGCAGTACTGACCAGCTCCACACCTGTCCCTTCACCTGGGAACATGCTGACCAGCCTGCATCTGTCCTCTAAGCAGCAGTACTGACCAACCCCAGCCCTCATCCCCTTGAGACCCGGACTGCGAGATCCAGGCAGCTGTAACTGCCCGCTGGGGTGGCCTCTGGGCCCAGCCCTGTTGTGATTGTGTGCTTATTCACTGAAAAATGCCTTTCCTGCACTGACGGCCATGTCTCCATTTCTCTCTTCCTCTCACAGGGGAGAGGATTGTCCCTCAGCAGATTTAGCTGGGTAGGTGACCGCCTTCCGTTCTGCTTCCTGGTCCCTTCTGGCCTGCAGCCCTCACTCCAGACACTCTGCTCTGTCCCCTTCCTGTCTGAAAGGACGTCCTGTCTCAGGGACAGAATCAGCCAGGACTTTGTTCCAAGGGTCCTGGCTCCATGGACACGCTCTCCCAAAGGCTTTCCACAAGACCCTCTGGCCTCCTCCCAGGGACAGAGGGACGGCAGCTTGGAGAGGGTGTCTTTTATTTCCCTAGTAAAAGTGCTGAGAAAATCATTCCTGGGAGTGTGGGTGGAACCTGGTGGGCTCCCTTCCTAACCAGCCCTTCTCAGAGCTCCCCTCATGGAGAGAGATGTTAGATTTAGTTTCTCAGCTGGTCATGACCTCCATAGTCCTGCTCTTCAGTTTGTGAATTGGTACTAATTGAAGCTTAATCTTCCAGCCATCAGGGAAAACTCCCCGGAAATGTTAGCTTTTTAATACAAACAGTCAAATGTCGGGAAGAGACTGAAAAAGGACTTCCTTCACCTTCACATCCTTGAGAAACAGGATGTCCATCTCAACTAAATGCCCAACAATCTCTGCTGCCCAAGCTTGTGTCTAGTTAAGAGCTAGACAGGATTCTGTCTAAGAACTACCATTTTTGAAATGGAGCCCAAGAATGGCCAGCAGCCGAGACTTGTCCCCGGTGACGCTTGAGCAGCAGCCCATTTACCAGAAAGCTGGAGGTTCACGTCCACTCAGGGGCACCTAGCAAGAAGGCCTGAGGACCTAGTTATCAGAGGCCCACAGACATCCAATACCCTGCCAAGCACAGTGTCTGATGCAGGGGCCACTGCTGAGACTTCCAGAGGTCAAGAGCCATGTCCGCCTAGATACATCTAGTGCCCGTCAGTAGGCATAGTGTAAATGGATGGGTGGATGGGTGGGTGGATGGATGGATGGATGGATGGATGGATGGATGGATGGATGGATAGATGGGTAAGTGGATGGATGGATGGATGGATGGATGGATGGGTGAGTGGATGAGTGGGTGGATGGTTGGATGGATGGGTGGGTGGATGGATGGATGGATGGATGGATGGATGGATGGATGGGTAAGTGGATGGATGGATGGATGGATGGATGGATGGATGGATGGATGTGTGGATGGGTGGATGGATGGATGGGTGGGTGGGTGGATGGATGGATGGATAAGTGGATGGATGGGTGAGTGGATGAGTGGGTGGATGGTTGGATGGATGGATGGATGGATGGATGGATAAGTGGATGGATGGATGGATGGATGGATGGATGGATGGATGGATGGATGGATGTGTGGATGGTTGGATGGATGGAT